ACCCCACCCCACCTCCACCACCTCTATCGCTCCGGAGACTATTCCGACTATCGTTCCGGTCACAACTCATCTCCGGCGACCGTTCCGACGACTGCTCCGATTTCGGGGACGATTCCGATGACCTTCCGCCGCCACTTTGTTCCAGCGACAATTCCGACTCCGGTGAAAATTTTTAGGTCACAATTCAAAATTTTCATAAGTCACAATTTATTTATTGGTCACAACTTAAAAATTTAAAAGTCACAATTTGTTCATCGGTCACACATCACAAAATTTATAAGTCACAATTCTTATTTAGGTCACAATTTATCAATTTATTGTTGGTCACATATAATAATTTTTAGGTCACAAATTAATAATTTTTAGGTCACACAACTTGTACTGGTCACAATTTAACTAATTCATAGGTCACAAACCAACCAAATTATTGGTCACAAAAAATCAAATCATTTGTGACCATCACCAAATCATTTGTAACCACCACTTCGCCACTGCCTCCACCAGATGCACCACCACCGTCGTCGCATCTTCACCACCATCGCGCGTAGCACGACCACGCCCACCACACGCGCACACATCCTACCATAACACAGCAACACCGCAACAATCGTACAGAAACACCACAACCATCGCACAGAAACGCAACCACCGCACGCAACCAGAAACACACCAAAACCACACGATCACCACCGCTGCACAAACACACACACCCAACCATCACAAACACCTGAACCAACAGCCAACCAGCTACAACAACCAATAGCCAACCATCGCAAACCGGAACCAACAGCCAACTATCGCAAACCGCACGATCACCACGAACGTCGCACCCAACCAGCTACAACAACCACGACACCACGGCCCCCTATACGCCACCAACATCATCACAAAAACAACATATAAACCTCATTTCAAACACAACATTCTCCCCCTCTATGCGACATTAACGGATGAAAGAACACAGACGAAATGTTGGACCTCAAATCGGATTTGGGTGGGTGGATCGGGGTGGGGTGTAAACACAGACGAAATGTTGGACCCCAAATCGGATCTGGGCCAGCGGCATCGCTAGACGATGGCTCTGCAGCAGCCGTGGAGACGAGAGCGAGAAACGAGAGAGATGGAGAGTTGTAGAGAGAAAGAGGAAAGGAGAGGAAGAATAGTGACGGCTGTGACTGTGGTGGCGACGGCGGCGTAAAGCAGAGAGACGGGAGGAGGATGAGAGTGGAGAGGTAATTGGGGCGGCGGGCGGTGGGACGATAGAGGGTGGAGGGGAAGAAGTGGTTGAAATGATTTTGGGTTTGATTGTGTCAAATTATTTTATTGTATATAGATATAAAAATAAAAAGAAAAAATGTTTTTAAATTATTAATTAAAACCTGATTTTTGAAATGTTAAACTTGTGATCTTAATTATGAAATTGGAAATCTAATTCCAGGTGTAGGAGAAATTTCCTCAAATAATAATAATAAACTTAAAATGCCTAAATCCAAAATTAACTTTTTTTCTTCCTTCCCTAATTCATCCAAGTCTTCAAGCTTTCCAGTGGCACTGGAATTCTACAACAATGGCAGCATGAAACTTGTAAATTCCAACGGGGCACCTCACCGTGAGGTTCCGTCACTGGTGACGTGAATCTACAACTTGGATGT